TTAAAAACAAACTACTCACCACACCTCAATAATAATCACATACACTGAACCAAATTTACGGTGTGGTACGATAAACGACGAAAAATAACGAAAAACAAACGTTTTCGAACCCCTTCTGGGCTCTTCATCAGGTTCCTACAGTTTTAGCTCGTAAATTCAAATAACGAATGACATTAAAATAAGTACGATCTTCAGTTCGAATCATTCTTTCAAAATTATACGACGCGCATGCGTGCCAAGTCTACCTACTCGGATATAACGGGCGGCTAAATTTGAGATGATCATTTGATAATCTAATCATTTGATAATCCGGCTAAATCCCAATGATCATTTGAGATGATCATTGGGAGGCACTCCTCCTCGGCGCGCCTCCCAATGATCATCTCAAATGGTTAGAGGCGATGCACATCCTTAAAGCCTCTATCGATACTACGTGCATAAATTTTAAAGAGGATATGCTTTTGTCGATGGCCTGGCAAGAGTTGATTCACAACACGATTTAGCCGCCCGTTATATCCGAGTAGGCAGACTCGGCACGCATGCGCGTCGTATAATTTTGAAAGAACGATTCGAACTGAAGATCGTACTTATTTTAACGACATTTGTTATTCGAATTTACAAGCTAAAACTGTAGGAACCTGATGAAGAGCCCAGATGGGGTTCGAAAACGTTTGTTTTTCGTTATTTTTCGTCGTTTATCGTACCACACCATAAATTTGGTTCAGTGTATGTGATTCATAAGAAAGAAAAATACTTACTATTTCTTTCATTCAGGTCAAGAGATGAAATATTTTCATCTGTTTCAGTCATTGCTATGTAAAAGAAAATCAAATCTATCATTAATTTTACACTTCTTTCTTTAATGGTTTAATTAAAATATTCTTATATAAATCTTTCTATATTAAGAAACTTTCATTTTTTAATATATTTCAATGGTTTATAAAAAGCTGAAAGAAATAAAACAGACAATTAATTAATGACGATACTTTAATATCAATAGTAATGAATAAATAACCTTATAAAGATATCAGGACCAAAGTTCATTTATTCATTGTTTTAAATAATCCAGTTAGCAATTTTCATTACTTTAATAAATTTCTTAAAACTTAACATGGAAAAAATTCTAAGAAAACATTAATGACAAAAAATAAATATGACAGAAAAGACAAAATATTATTATTGAAATGATTTAAAGCCTGCTCTTTAAAATATTATAGAATCTACTTTATATATAATGCCTGAAAACAAGCCTTTAAATAATTTAATTTATCTTTTTGCAATAATGAAGCATCTGTGTACTGAAGTGCAAACAAAGTCACTTAGTTCACTCACTTCCCATAGAACAAGTTAAGCAAATTGGTCTCAAATTAAACCTCATGACCTCTAGACATGCAGAAAACCATAGAAATTTGAAAAATTTTGAGTTGATCAAATTATTAATAATTTCAGCAATTTTCAATTGGTCACATGACAAATAGTACTGTCATAGCATCTATTAATAAATCTTGTGTCACATAATTTGTATCTTTAATTAATCATCTTAATACATATTTTCCATTAAAAAATATAAAGCATTTGTAACATTTATATTTATAAAAACTTTTACACTTTGGTGAATGTCCAAAAAGATGATGATGTCTTTCTTTTTCTACTAAGTTGCTGGCCTGAAAGAATTGTAAAGAATTTTGAACAAGCCATTAATAGAACTAATCTGAGTAACTGCTTTAAAATTGCATTGAGTTCAACCAATAATATTTTTCTTAGAAGTAAAAATTACACATGATAATATAAACAATATATCTAACAAAACTATTGCTTTTAAAGAAGTTTTGTTATGCACAATAAATTTGTATTCAATAAAATATTATGCTTAGTAGTTGTTTCATTTAGTTTCACTTTACTAAACACCATAAAAACCATCATACTATAAGCAAATTTACTAGTATTTATTATTTTTAGGAAAGTTTTAAACAACAAATATCTGAAAAATCATGTTACATTCTGTAATAACAAAAATATTTAATATTACGAGCATAATATATGTTATCATCTCTTTTTGAAAGCAATATATCTAGGTCTCAGTGGCATGCAGTGACATTTGATGATAGGGAAGCTGTGTTTCCATAAAAAATGATAAACAAATACTGGAAATGATAAAAATAAAGTTTATTTTAATTCTACAATAAATACATTGACATGAAACAAAGATATAAGACTTGTTTATGAAAATAATAGCACAATATATATTTATATTTTAAAAAATATAAGGGAAGCAGATTTTCCACAACTTCCATGGACTGCATGCCACTACTAGGTTTAATAGTGAACATTAGAATTGCTAGATTGGTCCAAGTTTAGTGTTAAGTCAGATTCCCCTCTGCTTGCCCCTCTTTATAACTACAGGGAAGTAAGCATACACATATGCAAAATGTATTACAAACTTATTATAAATCTAAAATACTAATCAATAATATAAATAATCTACTTTAAAAAAAGATAAGTGTTACATTTCATACCAAGACTGATGTCTAACAGCAATAAATATATTGCACCACTAATATACAACTATTAGCAGGGATGCTATGTGGCTAATACATTTCAAATCTTTATTAATAATCACCTTCAAATTTAGGAAAGGATGCATTTCAGATACCCCTCATCAGCTTACAAATGCATAGTACCAACTTAGCACACACATAATTATAACACTAATAGTTAACCAATACAAAGGGCTTTCTGGTGTATACAGTGCACTGTATTTACAATATATTTAATACAACCCATATACTAAAGAACTAAAAACTATCGAGCATAAAATTTTTTAATATAATAATGTAATATAATAAGGTTTATGGTTTATATAATAAACCTTAAACAAAACAAATACACCAAATCCATAAGACTGTGTAAAGCCAACTGCCTTGTACAATCATTTTACAATGTGAATGTGACTTTACTCCCATATCTGTTCAGCATCTGTTTCAAAGTTATGTAAAAATGATGTCATTCAACCACTAATGTAGCTTCATTCCCACATTGTTATTAATTCTAATGAATTTCTGTGTGTTCCTGTAGTCTTCTTTTTAATTGATTGTTTTCTGTCAGAATACTTTTGACACTATCTTTTAAAATTTCACAACTTCAAACATTGCAATGTTGTGCCACTGATGATGATATTAAATTGTTTCTGATGGCATATATATGTTCTTTAATTCTTGTCTTTAATTTTCTTCCAATTAAACCAATGTATCTTTTTTATGTGAGCAACTGTAATCCAATGAATAAACTACATTATCTTTTTCTAAATCATTATGTTAATTATTTTTAAATTTACTGTTAATCATTTTTGCTATGGTTCTTGTATGGTTTGGTACTAAAATAATATCTAAATTTTTTAATTTTTCTAAAACACCAAAAACCTATTATATTTTAAGATACAATGTCTTAAAAACTCCCAGTTATCTATTTAATGTGATATTTTCACTTTTCCTTTTACTTGTATTTAATCACTTTAACATAATGTTCTAGGGCAGTGGTTCCCAATTAGTTTTTCCTGCGTACCACTTCAAGAAAGAGCTCAAACTCGCGTACCCCTTATAGGAGAAATACATATTAATCCATACTAATATTATAAATTTGAAGGTAATTCTGTCCATCTGTCATTTTTTCACGTCTAAACCGCTGAACAGGTTTTAATAAAATTTGGCACAGAGATAGCTTACATGTTGGAGATGGACATAGGCTACATTTTACTGCGAGAAAATATCTAATTCCCACGAGAAAATTCGATATAATGCGGGCGAAGCTGTGGGTAGACAGATAGTGATAAATAGAATAAGTTTTTTTTTTACATTTATTACCTTTAAAATACAATTCTAATAATAATGAAAATAGCATAAGGTTATTTAATTTTAATGTGACAAATGTGCACAATTATCTTTGCACAACTTTGTAAAATCTGGTTGCTTTTTGGTCAGCTTTAGTCTTGAGTCATCTTCGAGTTGGTCGGTGACGATGTTTACTTTTCATGTTTGTTATGGCCGAAAAACCGCTCTTGCAGAGGTATTTTGTGCAAAATGGTAGTAAATATTTTATTGCTGCTTCGCTGACATTACAATAATGTTAATTGTACAATTACAAACACGTTTGTGTTTGTAGAATTGTACAAACATGTGGATTATCACACGTTATCCCTAACTTGCGAGTAAAAGGAGCAAAGGAAATTTAAATGAGAATGAGTATGAATAGCCAATATTAAACAAACCATTTTTATATAACAAATCAAAATATATAATGAAACAAAATATTAAAACTATACAAAACAATGAATCAATACCTAACCTAAATACTACTTAAAACTGTTCTTATTTCTAAACCTGACGCAAGAGAGAGTTCACAACAATCTATCTGAGTTCATATTACCTTCTTCTTTAGGTCTTTCGTATCTTTTTCTGTATCTATATGAGGGTCTTCTTCCTTTCTTGATTATTTCTCTTCTTATAATTTCTATGGACAGTTCTTTTAAATCTTCTCTATTAATAATCTTGTATACTTCGAATGTAGTACTCTATAACGATGTTTTTAGGACTTCTTTTTGGATTCGTAAATCAGCTTTGTATGACGATACCTTTCTTCATATGGGAAACCTCTTTTCGATGGACTGCCTCTATCGTATGGCTAGCTCTCTTCGTGTGCCAAACACATGCCGCATTCATCATCATTGTTTGTGAGATATTTAATAAAACTGTAGCTGGGTGATAAAATGACAAATAACACAATTTGTGTTAATTGTACAATTTTTGTTTCTTGTGTAAGAATTTCATTTAGGTATTGTCACAAATGCATTTTTTGATGAAATTTCGAAAATATTTTTAGTTATAAATAAACGAATTTGTGCATTCGACATTGTGTTGTAAATTGCCAAATTTTTGATGGTCCACCCATTATTTTTTTTATTGCTTCATCTCATGCATTTAAATTTTAAATCGACTGATTTTAGATTGCTGCGCGTATCCCTTCGTTCAATTTCCCGCGTACCCAATTAGTGGTACGCGTACCACTAATTGGGAACCACTGTTCTAGGGTAATTATTTAAACTTGGCATCTTGAATCCTATCCCATAATGCATCTGTGTATGCCATCAGTTGTCAATCCCATCTTCTGTAATAGTGCATAGTTCTCCACTTTCTTCAGGTATCAAATCACCTTTTTCACAGCAGTTAGGTGCATTTCTCAAGAGTCTTGGTTAAATCTTGACAAATTGTACACTGTGAAGCATATGTTCAGTCTTGAATTTGTTGTTAGGTACAATAGTTTCCTGAGAGCCATTGGTAGAGTGTGATGCCTACTTTATTACTCTCTTTGTCCAAGTTTTGACTGACATCCATAGGAAGTTTTGATGTATTGCAATCTTATATTCCCATCATTTCAAGAATTTGAGCTAAGTAGCACTGTTCATACACATTTAATAGCACTTTGTGTAAATAGTCATTCCAGCATTTTCTGGATTGTTTTAAACCATATAAGCTTTGTTGTAAAAGACAGACTTCATTTTTATCCATAGTATTCAATCCAGATGGTTTGTCCATGTAATCATTCAATTTCCCCTATAGGAATGATGTCTTGATGTCATGTGCCTTCAATTTTACTTCCAGTTGTGATGCTATATAAATTAGTACATACCATGTTTCTTTTTGCATCACTGGTGAAAATGTGTCATCATACTCCTTTCCTGGTTGCTGGGTGCAACCCATAGCTATTAATCAAGCTCTGAATTTATTCACCTTCCCTGTTTCATCTTGTTTTATCTTAA